TTAAGTGTTAACGAGCAGTTGGACAGGTGTACCTAATAAAGTGGCCGGTGAGTGTAGATGTAATGTTTCTAGTGTTAACATATCAGACTCTTAACTTATTGCTCCCCAGGCGCTGCACGATGGCAGCCCACTGCTCCCCAAGGGGATGGGTTAAATGCAGAGGTAAATTTCTCCCATGTGAAATCAATTAAGTTTAATTGTTATATTTAGTGTTTGCCACAAAAAGTGAGAGAAAAAAGCCCTTAATTTGAAGAAAAAGGTAAACAAATGTGATGTCTTTTGCTAGAATCTTATTCGTTGTATAATTTGTGCACACTGAGTGTCTTGGTGCAACATAACAGGCAGCGATTCCCTAAAACTAATGTTTAGCAGGTAATCTTTGCACTACCTACATTTCAAACTGATTATTTAATTTCTTTATTGCAAAAATATTTAAAGTCCACTGTTATTATCTAAGCAGACATTCAGAAGAGATTTTTATTTTGAAAAAGATAAAATGCCTAATTGTGCTTCAATCAGCCTATTCTGATGGAGACGTCTTCAGAGCTGCATCCAGAAAAGAAAACCACATCCAACACTTCCTGGTACTAAAAATCTACATTTGACCATTAAGCTGATTAAACACCTCTAGCTGGATATGTTGTCATTTTCCTGTTTTAATATTTGACGTTCCAGTTCACTGCATTAATGCACCAACAAAACCAGAACTAAACAGATATTTCAGGCCTTGTGGGATTTGAATAATGCTACGCTCAGAACGATTCATATCATCGCTCTGCTGTTTAAACCATTCGTTTATGCAGTGCTTCAGATGTTGGAAGGTTCTGGGTGCTTCTATGAACTCTGTTTCTGTGTCCAAATGTTTGGAAATCTGCCATCATTTCTCCAGGTTCCTCTATCCATGGATGGAAGAACGGCTCCCGCTATGATGCTCCTGTCTGCAGACTTCTTCCTCCTCCTTAAACGGTGTCTGTGATAATATCACTTGATCTGCTGCAGAGAACTTAAAACCAGCATTTTCCTGGAAGCCTCTGCAGCTGAACGTAGAGTTTTCAAAGAACAGCTTCGATTTCAGGTCTTCCTGGAGCTTCTTTCCTCTTAAAACTACAGTGGATTTTGAGTTTTCTGAACCAGATCAGGGACCCGGCCACAGCCTGGTGCTGTTCCCAGGTTACGGTCAAATATTTTCCCATCTAGAAGTTAGTAAAAGAAGCTGTTTAACAAAAAAATTATCTTTAAAGTCATTCTGTTAAATATTAAACCAGCAGAATGGCGACATCAGGTGGTCTGACTCCATCAGTGGATCATTAAGCTGCCATCTCTAGTTATGTGTGGCTGCCCTCTTGTTTGTATATTTATACCAAAAAAGGCTTTAAATTAGTTTAATTGTTTAGAAATAAATGGCAGTTAGCAGCATTAGAGCTGCTTTTGTTTGACCCGAATATAAAAGTGACAGATTTTAGCTTCAGTTCTGATTTCTAATGGAAACTTAATTTAGAATTACGCACAGACCCCTATAAAGCATCTAAATAATTAATTTAGAAATCCTTCAGGACAAACAGTGGATGAAGGAATAACCAAGAGCAGCAGCTTTGTCTTAAAATCATCTGTATTGGAAAAAGGTGTAGATATAGAGTATTTAGATGATGCATGTGGAAGTTTACAGCTCAGAGAAATGCAGTAAATAGACGCTCGCTGTTCAGCTCCAGCTTTCCTCTGGTCACATTTATTTTATTTTTAAAAAAATCACTGCTTTCTGGGGACAAAATGAAAAAGTTCAGTTCGTCAAAAAATTTATACATAAGATCTATAATCTATAGATCTATAAACAAGGTTTATAGAAAGGAAGGAAAGGAATACATTTCTCAGAATGTTTCCATCTGACTTATTGTGAGCATCGTGTTTCACTAACTATTATTTTTACATTTGGACTAAAATTAAAGAGTTAGAGAAGACCAGAACATCTTCGAGAGAAACGGAGGAGAGAAGGGAGCCCGCCTCATCCGGACCGCCCGGGAGGGGCCGGGACGCTCCGGGCCGTCACCCCCTCCCTCACGTGGGCGGCTCCGGGCCTGCAGAGTGGAATGCTGCAGCAGAACAGTGTGGAGAGTGAACAAGCCGGGTGGTTAGAGGTATCGACAGCAGAAACCCGATGAGCGGAGAACAGGAGAACAGCAGAAGAGAGAAAGAAACGGGGCGATGTGCTCGTCGCTGATTAGTCCAGGGGCCGCTTTTCTCCGTGTTTCTTTGTGAATTCTTCAGCATTCTTCAAGAATTTTTTACGGTCCTTTGAGTATTCCTCTGCTAAGTCTGCCCTCAGAGGATGTTCTGGCTGAGGATCGTTGACCAGCGCGATGAGGGACTGAATCACTGCAAAACAAAAAAAGATCCAAAATCAGCTTTAAAACAGGACTTTTAATGAAAGATGGCAGCTTTCACAGCATTTATTATTATTGAACTTTATTGATCTCATATTGGACAAATGGATCTCTGAATATAACCCATCCCCTTGGGGAGCAGTGGGCTGCCATCACACGGCGCCCAGGGACCAATCAGGGTCTTCCTCAGAGACACAGAGTGGGTTTCAAACTCACAACCTCTCTATGCCCTAACCACTAGGCCGCCACTGTCCTTCAGAAAGCACCGACCAAAAACAGTCTGACTAAACTCAATTAAGTTATTATCTAAACTGCTGCTTTGCATCATCACTAGTGATCCTACATGAGGACATCGGCCGATCCGATGCTACTGCTCAATGAATTAACCGAATAACTTTGCTATGCGAGTAAAATCATGCTGGACATAAACATCGTTAAAAAGGTAGCAAAATGAACACATCAGTAGCTGCTGTGGGCTCTGCAGGATGATGTAATCATCTCAATCATAAAAGTCACTGGATTAGCATAAATGTATTGATGTGTATGATATAAAAAAGGAGTTCAAGTTCTGAGTTCAAGCCCCACTCCCACACAATGCCACTCTGGAAAAACTAGAGGAGGAGCAGGACTAGCTTTAAAATATGCCTCTAAAGCAGTGGTTCCCAAAGTGTGGGGCGCGCCCCCTAGGGGGGGCGCAATGCCATTGCAGGGGGGGCGCGGGAAGCGGTATGGATGAATGAAGAAAAAAAAAAAAAAAAAAAAAAAAAAAAAAAAAAAAAAAAAAAAAAAAAAAAAAAAAAAAAA